AGGAAGGAAGGAAGGAAGAAAGAAAGAAAGAAAGAAAGAAAGAAAGAAAGAAAGAAAGAAAGAAAGAAAGAAAGAAAGAAAGAAAGAAAAACACTGGGTTTACAATTTATTCAATATTTATGAAGCATTTATTTTGTGTTCCAGTTCAGAAAACAGATTTGATTACTTGAGCAGGTCATACAACTTGTGTCCTTACAAGAGGCATGTTACAGATATTTTACTACAGGAAAGTTTGACTGTAAGTCTCCTATTTTTGAGAAGTACACAGTGCTGAAACAACTTACAAACGACCTTTAGATTGTGAGGGCAGGAAATGTCCTTAGCTTCAGAGACATCTATACTGGGTTCTAGAAGGATGCTGGTTTGGACCTTTTCTGTGAGGGCTGTAGTGCACAGTATTTTCTGTGATTAAAAGACAGAAAATAGAAATAAACTATTTTTTTTCTGTTGTCTTTATTTTTTAAGACAAGGTAACATAGTTCTTCTCAAATTCCCTATGCAGCAGAGGATGAAATTAAATTTATTATCCCCCTGACCTCATTTCCTGATTATAGGCATCCACCACCATACCCAGTTTTATGTGGTGCTGGGGTTGAAGCCTGTAGAGGGAAGTTTCTCCTGTCCTGCCTTGCCCAGCAGTCCAGATGAATTTCTCCCACCCACTGTCCCATAGCTGCTTATAAAATAATCACTCAGAGGCTTATATTGATTGCAAACTGTATGGCCTATGGCTTCAGCTTCTTGATAGCTAGCTCTTTCATCTTAAATTAACCCATTTCTATAAATCTATATGTTGCCACGTGGCTGTGGTATTACTGGTCTGCTGACATCTTGTTGCTCCTTTTGCAGTGGACTGGTGTCTCTCCTGACTCTGCCCTTCTTCTCTCTGTATCTCTGCTTGGATTTCCCACCTAGATGTAAGCTTTTGTCATAGGCCAAAAGAGCTTTATTTATTATCGAATGGGAGCCACACATATTCACAGCATACAGAAAGACATCCCACAGCAAGAGCCCTGAGTTTTGTGTATTTAGGCAGGTATTCTTCCAACTGAACAATATATTTAGCCCATTGTGTTTTGGCTTTTTTTTTTTTTTTTTTTTTTTTTTTTTTGTGTTGTCTGGCTAAGAGACCTCTAAGTTTCTATGGTAAACTGGGCAGGTAGTGTGGAGAACTTTCAAATTTGGGATCAGTATAGGATGAAATATAAGAATCTAGAAACAGAGTATATGAATAGTGCCAAACTCCAAGGTATAAATGAAGCAGAAAGTCACTGTTTTGTCATCAGTAAAGTTAGAAGTCTGAAATAGAGCTTTGAAAACTGGGCTCTTGTGGAAAGAAAGGGCTCTGGTACAGATGAGCAGGACTTGGAGCTAGGATGTACATTATGAAAAAGATAGATGAGAACATAATGTTTTTTGAAAAGTAGGAGGGGGAGTGAAAACATCAGAACATGGAGGCACTGGGCACAATTAAGGAGCTAGATGCAGATATGGAACTGCTTACCTGATATTTCCTTCCTTTTGTCTCTACTCTAGGTATGTGAACTGTGCTCGGGATGATGAGGAGCAGAATCTGGTGGCTTTTCAATATCACAGACAGATCTTCTATCGAACCTGTCGGGTCATCAGACCAGGTTGTGAGCTTCTAGTCTGGTATGGGGATGAGTACGGCCAGGAACTGGGCATTCAGTGGGGAAGCAAGAGGAAGAATGGATTCACAACAGGAAAAGGTGGGCACTACTATGGTTCCTTAAAAAACAAAGAAAAGAAGGAATTCTCCTTGAAAATTTTTGTTTCAACTCTTTGTTCTTTAATTATTTATAGTTAAAATAAAGTGAAGTTTTAAATCCATTAGAGAAAATGAAAATTGCAAGCTCCTCTATAGGAAGTACAGCCTCAAGTGTTAAAAGCTTATCATAAATGAACTGCATAAAAGTCAGCATCCAGAGTACCCAGAAATAGTAATACTGTAGTGAAAAGTGGGGGATGGGAGAGGTGGGGTGAGGCAAAAAAAAAAAAATGAAACATGAGTACACTTTTAATCCTGGCACTCAGGAGGCAGAGGCAGGTAGATCTCTGAGTTCGAGGCCAGCCTGGTGTACAGATTGAGTTCTAGAACAGCCAGGACCTCACAGAGAAACCCTGTCTCGGAAAAGAAAAAAAAAAAAGAAAAAGAAAGTAAGAAAAGGAGAGAAGGGGAAACAAAAAGAAAAAATGGAAAAAATGAAATATAATCATGAACCCTCAAATGTGGTGGTATTGTGTTCCCCAAAATATTGTGCACCCTAATAAACTTATCTAGGGTCAGAGAACAGAAAAGCCACTAGATACTTAGGATAGGCAGTGGTAGCACACACCTTTAATCCTAGCATTCCAGAGGCAGAAATCCATCTGTTCAAGGATACAGCCAAGCATGGTGACTCACTCCTTTAATCCCAGAAATCGAGCCTTTAATTCCAGGGAGTGGTGGTAGAAAGCAGAAAGATATATAAGGCGTGAGGGCCAAAAACTAGAAGCTTTTAGCTGGTTAAGGTTTCAGGCTTTGGAGCAGCAGTTCAGCTGAGATTCATTCTGGATGAGGACTTAGAGGCTTCCAGTCTGAGGAAACAGGATCAGCTGAGGCACTGGCGAGGTGAGGTGGCTGTGGCCTGTTCTGTCTCTCTAATCTTCCAGTTCACCCCAATACCTGGCTCAGGTTTGATTTTATTAATAAGACCTTCTAAGATTCATGCTATACTCAAAGGCATTTTTAGACACAGGAATCCACAGCAAGGAACAGACACAAACTTCACCAGGAATATAGTAGAAAGCAACTCAGAGGTGGAAAAAATTTTAAAACAAAAAAACCTACAACTCAAATTCCCAGATCTTACATGTTTTCATCCAGATGTTACTCTTTCCACCCCACCCCAGATTCAGAATGAAATGTGAGTAAAACACAGATAAGAGCTGTAGACATTCAGAACTGTTCACCCTGAAAGGCCAATGTCAGGAAAACATTTTGTTCATATAATATACCTGTTAACATGAACAAGTAGTATGTCAGGGAGGATTAGTGCAAGGTATATTTTCAATGATGAGCAGAATCTCAGACTTTTTAGTAAGTAGAACTTGAAATGATTGGCTTCCCAACCTCCTGGTGTTCTGAATTGGGGCACTTCTACCCAGTGGTTGTCCAGCTGCCTTGTTCTGCTCCTGACAACAAAACCGGTGGTTTCTCAGCACCTCCTTCTACAAATCATAGTGCTACAAACACTTTGATTTCTGGGAAGATTCATCAAACAATCCTCTTTGTTAAAAACATTTTAAAAGTATAACTCTGTCCATTCACAATGAGAACATGTAGGACAGACAGGGTAAGCTGCCAGTGTGCACATGCTCAGGTGGTTCGCTCCCAGCTCTGCCTTGACTACTTCGGTATCAAGAGGGAGCTCTTCTCACTCACACCTCTATATTTACTTTTATGGCCTTTGTGTAGGATATGGTGAAATGTTGTGAGCTGAGCAGTCTCCAACTTTTGCCTACCCACCAAACTAACAACTTTATAAAGAAATTAAAACTGGGTGAGTTCAAGGCCAAGCTGGCTAACTTAACAAAACTGTCTCAAAATAAATACATGTGTGTTGCCTGGCATGTGCAATGCCCCTGGCATGTGCAATGCCCCCATCCCTCACTCTCAAAAGAAGAAAAAAAAATCAAAACTTGGCTGGGTATATACCCTGGTAGGTAACTGCCTAGCATGCACAAGACCCTGACTTCCATAACCAATATCGCAAATAAAAGTGAGGAAAAGAGAAAGAGAGGGAAAGAAATAAAAGAAAAACTAATGGAGAGGGGATTAAATCTTTACATATTTTAGAAATGCCCAGAAAGATTTACCCTAAACAGATGGATTCTAATCTGATGAACTGGTGTTTGACAAATTTCTAAACTGGTAAGATCTTCTAAGAAATAGCAACACTAAAATATGTTACAGGAAATAGAGGTGTGCACAAATACACACTAGACAGAAAATGTGCACAATAAAAGCATGCACCATGAGCTTACTGCTGATTTTGCCACTGGCATTCAATGGTTCAAATCATGATTTCCTAACACGTACACAAGATTTTTAAAAATGAATAAACACAAAGGAAGACCAAGAAAATATAAGGGACTAAAACACAATGTGAGAAAAAGATAACTACAGACAGAACTTTTCACCTATACTGGCACATTCAGATGGATGTTCTATTATCATTATAACAAAGGCAGAAAAAAAATCATTTGATGATATTCTGTTTACTAAAGGATGCTAAATTAATAATAGACCACTTACAGAGGTAGCAAGTAGTTCTGATGCCATCTTACTTATTAATCTCTGATAGATGCTGATAAAACTGAAAGACATGATGTGCTGGCTAGGTTTATGTCAACTTGACACAAGCTAGAGTCATCAGAGAGGCAAAAGCTTCAATTGAGAAAATGCCTCCCTAAGATCAGGTTGCAGGCAAGCCTGTAGGGAATTTTCTTAATTAGTGACTGATGCAGGAGGGCCCAGTCCATTGTGGGTGGAGTCACCCCTGAGCTGGTGGTCCTAGATTCTATAAGAGAACAGGCTGAGCAAGCCAAATAGAGCAAGCCAGTAAGTAGCACTCCTCCCAATGCCCTCCCTCTGCATCAGCTCCTGCCTCTAGGTTCCTGCCCTGACTTCCCTCAGTGATGGACTGTTAACCTGGAAGTGTAAGCTGAAATAAATCCTTTCCTCCCCATGTTGTTTTGGTCATGGTGTTTCATCACAGCAATAGTAACACTAACTAGGACACATGATCAATAAAAAAAACCACAGACCACTTGTAAAATGAAAACATCTTTGTAGTTCCCAGTGTGGAAACTGTGGCTCATGAAGACTCTACCAATGAGCTCCATCCTCCCTCATGAGAACAAAAAAGTCTTAAAAGCAGTTTAGGTATCTAAATGAATTCCTAATCTAGTATCAGTTGTTTTATTTTGTAATTAAAAGAGGGGAAATGTGAATGGTTCTACCTATCCATAAGAATATGAATGACCAAACATACCCCAATGGCTGGGTTCTAACAAACCATGTATCTTTAAATTAATTAAAATGTTTACTTGGTATGATATTCAATTGTCAAGAGGAAACAATTCAAAGGCCATTACACAGCTGATGAGTCACATGAAGGAGCCATACAGACTTTGCCCTGCTGATCCCTTTCCAAATGACCATGGAAGAGATCCTCATAGATGATGGTTTCGTACAAAGGTGCTGATCAGAGTCAGGATTCCCATGGTATGCAACTGTATTGATGTTTCAGAGTCGTGTCAGTCTGACTTGGGCTTCTACTGAGGCCTTTGCCCCTGCTGCAGCCATGAGCTCAAGGAGGTGGTTCTGTGGATGATGTTTGGTTTCCTGTCCAAAAGAAGTAAGATCCATCAAACAGCTCTGGCTCTCTGTTGAGCCTGTTCCTCTGTGGACTTTCAGGAACTTTGTACTTTTCTTCCTGTTCATGTACTTTATAGCCAGGCTTTCACCCAATCAAACTTCAGGAGCCAGCATCCATTTGAGAATCCCAAACATACACATCAAAGTACTTTGAGCTTCATCATCAGCAACAATTACAGGCATTATAGTACTGTCAAACGCCTTAAGAATTAATCCCGCCGGGCGGTGGTGTCACACACCTTTAATCCCAACACTTGGGAAGCAGAGGCAGGCTGATCTCTGTGAGTTTGAGGCCAGCCTGGTCTACAGAGCCAGTTCCAGGACAGGCTCCAAAGCTACACAGAGAAATCCTGTCTCAAAAAACAAAACAAAAAAACCCCAACCAAACAAAAAAACTTTCTCAAGTTTGCTGAGCGTTTTCTGTTGTTCTGAAGCAAGTACTCTGCCTGTAAGCATCAGTGGCCCATTCTTTTGTTGCCCAGCATTCATGGGCAATCACTTATTTTCTGGTAGCATCAGTAATGATCACATATTGTCTGTGTGATGTTTTGAATAAGAATAGCCCCCATTCTCTCATATTTGAATGCTTAGTCATCAAGGAGTGGAACTCTTTGATAGGATGGGAGGTGTGGCCTTGTTAGAAAGTGTGTTGCTGGGGGCTGGGCGTTGAGGTTTCAAAAGCCCATGTGAGGCCCAGTATCTCTTACTCTGCCTGCTGATCAAGATGTAGCTCTCAACTACTTCTCTAGCACCATGCCTGCCATGCCTGCTACAATGTTCCCTGTCATGATGATAATATACTAACCTCTAAAACTGTAAGCAAGCCGCCCCCCCCCCCCCGCCGCCGCCAGTTAAATACTTTCTTCTGTAGGAGTTGCCTTGATCATGGTGTCTCTTCACAGCAATAGAACAGTGACTAAGACAGTCTGTATAACCCATGAGCCACATACCAAGTATGTTAACAGCATTCCTGGAGACACTATAGGACAATAACACCTTGACTATATCCATTTTCCCATTCTTTTTACATCATGGAGTGCTGAGTTTTTCCGATAGCCCAGTGGTATTCACCAAAGCCTTATGCTGGACAGGAATTCCACTACCTTTGAGTGACCATGACTACAGGCTTCATACAATGGTGTCCATCCCACATGATCATTAACATTTGGGTCATTTCCATTTTGCAAGAGTATTATTCAGGGCTGGAGAGATGGCTCAGAGGTTAAGAGCACTGGCTGTTCTTCCAGAGGTCCTGAGTTCAATTCCCAGCACCCACATGGTGGCTCACAACCATCTATAATGAGATCTGATGCCTTCTTCTGGCCTGCAGACATACATGCAGGCAGACCACTGTATACATAATGAATAAACAAATCTTTTAAAAAAAAAAGAATATTATTTAACAGAAGGTATATTGCCCTTCATACAAGCGATATGAAGCAAAGTCTCTCCTCTGACTTTTTTTCCTGGCCATAATGTTGGGTGACAGCTTCACTGTGTGGGGGGTTTGACATTTGTCTGTGAGCTGAGCTATGCAGCAGAGGTGGGGGTGTGCCTGGTGAACGACTAAGGGAGTCATCTGATACGTTACTATTTCTCCTGAGTGTGACGTCAACTTGAAGTCTGCCCGAAGGCAGTGAAGAACAGTCACCAGTATGTTTTCTGCAAGCACTGTTGGCCTTCTAAATCTCTGGTGGTGCTTGGAATGTTGCTTCCACATCACTTAGAGGTAGGATTGGGAGACCTGCTGCAACCTTGGAGATTTCCATTATGCCCTGCTGAATGAAGATCTTTTACATAGACCTTCCTTCCTCTCAGAAGTCTTTTCACTCTTGCTCACAGTGTCTGGAGACACTATATGCCCAGCCAATGGTAAAGAGACTTTAGTCAAGCTTCCAGAACATCCAGATTCTGCAGCAGAGTCACTTACTAAGAAATCTATTTCACCATTTACTGGTGGACTCTCACAACTGGTGATTGGCTACAGGAGGCTCTCCTTCAGTTCCTCTTTGGAATCAAATTAACTATCTTCTTTCCTGGCCTTAAATTCCACTCCTCATTGATCTCAGCTAAAGATTTCTTCTGCCTTTTTGCAGATGTTCTGAAAGCTGTTTTAACCCTCTTAGAAACAACTTCATGAGGACTTGTAGAAACAAATTCATACACTGATCCTTGGTGGGCTTTGTCATCCTTTGCCTTTTGAGGCTGGGTTAGTGCTGACACTTATTCATAGCATATCTGACCCTCTTACTTCAAGGACTAAACCACATTTTTATTGAATTCTACTTCCTTTCTTCATCACCAAATAAAATTGTCCTAGATGTGTCATCTTTTGGATCTAAAAGTTTATTATTATGAAGCAAATTTTGAAGCTTACTATACAGGTGCATCATGTTGTCCAATTGTCTGTTTGTCTGAAGGTCTAGGACCCAGGCTGGGATATAACACACTGGGCATCCTGTTCCAACACAGTCACTTTTACAATCACTACAGAAGGTGTGCTCACATCCTCCTAAACACATGAGCTCCTTCAAAATATTAGAATAGCAGGAGCAGTGCTTTTCCTGGGCCTCTAGGCAGCTGGCTTTACAGCCGGTGTGGGAGGAGGCTCCTTTTTGGAGCAGACAGCTGCATCCCCTAGGAAAGCGGGTGCACTCTGGCATCACAGGACACCCTGCTAGTCACTGCTGTGTCTGCTACGTGAAGTTTCAGAGTCCATGGGACTCCTTGTGTTTCAATTTTTTTTTTTCACATTGTACAAACCCTTAGATTCTCTTTATTCACTGGTCCGTTTCTACAACAAATACATCCAAAACACTATATAATAAAATTATTTACAACATTTCCAAATGACAGGATTGCTTTTGCCCCACTACTGCTATTCACACACAGTACTTCCACAGCACAATACATCATTAGAAGATCTACAAATGCTCACCCTGTACTCTAGGCTGCTTAAGAAATGTGAAACTAATAACATTTATAATGGCATTAGCTCCTTTCAATACATGGCAACATTTTAGAAGCCTTGAACTTCATTTTGCAACACCAAAAGGGCTGCTCCCCGTTGCACTTTATGAGACAGGTTTCAGGGACAAGGAAAAGGACTGAGTTATTAAAATGACTAACTGTACAGAAATAGATTTAAAAAGTCACAGCTGAAAATTGCTCTTTGTAAAATTCACACACATTTACAAGTATCAAGTCATCTTCCAGCTTGCTTACTTGGATTTTCTTCGCTTGGATTGCACTGCACCAGTTATATCTTTTGTAGAGCTGGAGGCTGAAGCAGGCCGAGAGGATCATTTTCAATGTCCATTTTCCACACTCTCAGAAGCCACTGTTGGCTCCTCAGTTCGAGAGTTTCTTCGGCTTGGGGTTTTGGACTTCTCAGCTATCTCTTTTGGCTCACTGCTTTGTCCAGAGACTATGGCAGCATTTGCCTCAAGTTCTGGTCTGGCAACAGGCCCCTGCAGTGCTGTGGCTGCAATCTCCTTTGGGACTAAAGTCTGTGAAGGGGCTGGTGGCCGGTTTGAAAATTCTGGCAGTTTAGAGCCTGTGTTGTCCAAGTTGATTCCTTGTTCTCCAGGTAATGACTGTTGGTCAGCCTCCTCTAGACCAGCTGTACGATTATCTGGGGTGTTTAGATCTTGCTGACAGTTTTTCTTTTTCCCAGGTGGCTTCTTCTTCGGTTTATTTTCATTGGTATTATTTTGTTTATTGTTTACACCAAAATGGCCTGCAGAAATGTCACTTTGCAATAAGTTGACCAACAATGGGCTTGTTAATGTTACATCCTTATTGACTGGGAAGCCTGGATTTTGACCACAAGACATCTGGTTTCCATTGGGTGTACCACTGAATGGTGCATTGAAAGACATCGCATGGCCTGAGAAGTGGTTTCCTGAAGCACTGTTTCCCTGCATGGTCTGTACATGTGGGGCAACCATGTTGGCTTGTTGCATGCTAACATCAGGCATCATCTGAGACAAGTTGACATACATCACTGTTTGCTGTAGTAGCAGGATCACCATGCTGCTGAGCCATATGTAGGCTGGGCCCTGGTGGCCGCAGAACCTGCCTCTGAATCCCCATAACCTGAGATGGACTGTTGTTTACAGGCCCTTGCTGAGGCAGCATCTGTCCTGACATCTGTCCTGTAAATTGCACCATGTTTCCTTGCATGTTCGGAGTTGGTCCCCTCATTATCTGTGCTGGTCCCGGCATGACATTGGATTGGTTCTGAGTGTTAAATTGCTGCTTATTCCCCTGCATCTGATTGGTCATTATTTGCTCTATCATTGGGTTCTGCTGGAGCAAAACTTGCCCCTGAGGCCCCATCATCTGGTTATGTGGTGCCATCATTTGTTGGCCCTGCTGGGGAAGCATCTGCTTGGGTGGGGTCATCCTTTGGGGTGAAGGCCCAAGATTTTGGTTCTGAGGATTCACCATCATCTGGCTCTGTGGCATAAGCTGGGCCCTTGAAAGGATCATAGAGTTTTGAGGGTTCAAAGTTCCTTGTTGCTGGACCATTTGGCCCTGAGAGGGTACAATCTGTTGGTGCATGCCCATCAGCTGAGATGGTGGGCCCTGCTGTGGCTGGCCTTGCATGTTGCCCAGGGTCACCTGAGGAACTCCAGAGCTACCAGCCTGCTGGTTGTTTATGTTGCCATGAATTCCCATGAGGCTGGGTTGCATCATGTTTGGTGGCCCGTGAGACATCGGGTTTTGAGGAGGACCAGCTCCTTGACCACCTGCATGCTGGACATTTTGATTTGCTTGCAGTTGAAGGGCTCCTGAATTCCCAGGGGTGGTTGCTGTAGTGGAAGGCACCTGACCTTGCATAAAGTTCGGATTGGCCTGTCCTGCTGAGAAGCCAGGTGGGAGGCGTTTAGGCATTCCTCCTAGGCCTGGGTGTAAACTCTGTGGCCCCTGTTTTGGTGGCTGATGCTGCATCACCATGAAGTTAGGTGGCACATTTCCCTGTTGAACCATGGGACTCCGACCTGGAGAGCTGAAAGGCTGCTGAAATCCCTGGGGAAGTGGGTTATTTTGAGGTGGCCTTGGTCCCATTTACTGTTGAGTTTGGTTAACCGTTGGGGAGGATACAGGGTATCCCTGCTGGAAGGAGGAGGGTGAGGAGGCAGGAGACTTGTTGGTGAGGTGGGGTTGTTGCAGGGGGGTTGGGACCCTGGAGGGCCCTCCCTGCAAACTCTTCATCTGAGGAGCTGTGAACTGGCCTGGGTTGCTCATTTGAGGAAAGTTTGTATGGGCTTGTGAGGCTTACTGGCTGCCAAAGCGATAAGGAGGGTGAGGGTGAGAAGGTGGCTAAGGAAGGTCTTGCCTGAAGTTGTTGTTGCATTGGGCTACACAAGGGAGCCTTCTTCCACCCTTGATTTGCAGTCATTGTGCCCAAAGAGCCCTGGGCTGGCAGAGGCTGTAGGGCTCCAGAAGGCAACTGGTTCCAGCCTGGAGGAACAGGCACCTGAGTTGGAGCAGTAAACTGTGGACGAATCCCCTGTGGCTGTTGCTGCTGATGTTTCTGTGGAGGTCTTGTCTGCAACTGTTGCTGCTGCTGCTGTTGTTGTTGTTGTTGCTGCTGCTGCTGCTGCTGCTGCTGTTGCTGCTGCTGTTGCTGCTGCTGTTGCTGCAGCTGGGGAAAATTAGCTGGATTCATTTGCCTATTCACAGGAACAGGCTGCATTGGGTGATGTGCTGGAGGTAAAGATCCTGAGGGATGACTCTGTTGCTGTATATGGAGTCCAGAGAGAAGTGGATCCATTGCATCTGAATGAGAAGCAGGGCGAGGAGTCCTGGGCTGCAGTTCTGGATTGGGGCCTGGTGCCATCATGGAAGATGACATGTTCCCACCCTGGGGCATCATAACAGTGGCAGGACTCGTCATCCTTATTAATCCTGGACCACTTGCCATGGGAAATCCTGCCTCCATCCTAACAGAATTTCCAGATGCCATGTGTCCATTCATTCTCACATCTTGGCTCCGGTTCTGACCCAAAGCCAGGTTGATAGCACCTTCCCCTTCAATCTGAACGGAGAGAATCCCCAGATCCCGAAGCTGCTGGTTGTTGCTCTGAGCCAGGATCCATAACCCCTCCGCCGCTTCCCGGGGGATGTTGAATGTGACACGCACACTGTTCCAGGGCTCCACTTTCTGCACCTTTAGCTTGCTGGATTCCATGTGTAACAAGTTAGGCACATTCTTTAATATTGCATCCAGTTTCCATTTGAAGTCTTTATCATCTATATTTCCTTTGAAGGCTACAAAAATTGTGGAATCCTCCAAAAAACTATCGCTTTTTGTGTCATCATCTTCTAGTCCAGAGTCAAAGTCCACCTCTGAGTCTTCCATTGTTGATGAACACAGGGAAGTATAGATGTCTTCAAAGTTTGGAAGGTCATCCAAAACCATGGTGTATTATTCCAGAAGTATATGCAAAGTGAACAATAAGAAAACCAAAATGTCTTAATTTTTATCACTTATCCAGGTCATCCTCTAAGTCCAAACAAGGTGGCATCTTTAGGGCTTGTATTTCAAAGTAGCAGCCAAATAGAATTCTGAGCGCGGCCCCGGCCCTCCCGGGCGGGCCTCGCAGCGCCGGCCCGGGCCCTGCGTGCCCGGCGCCCTCCGCGCGTCCGACTGTCGGAGCCCGGCCACCCGCAGCCCAACCCGGCAGGGCCTCAGGGAACCGGTGGGGAGGGGGGGATGGGCCGGGTGTGTTTCAATTCTTAAGCAGAGTGAAAGGAAAATAGAAATTCAGTACATTTTCAAGTACTTCTAAAATTAAAGATTATTTTATGTGCTTTTAAGTGCTATAAAATTTTTATGTTTTTAAATAATATGATTTTAAAAAAGAATTGATGTATTTATTTTATACGTATGAGTGTTTGCTTGCATGTGTGTATGTCCATTCAGTGCCTGCTGAGGGTCAGGCTGCAACTGGGGCCATACATTTCTGAGGGGCTTGCACTGCCACTGGGGACCACAGTGACGTCCAGTCTGAGCTGCAGCCAAACAAGGGCCATATCTAGGTCCGTGGCCCTACTGCATCCAGCGTCTGTGTTGATGTCCATGGCTCCTATTACCATCGAAGGCTGTGTGGATGCCCAGGTTCTGGCCTGCCACTTAGGACCATGTTAGTGTCCGAGGGCCATACTGCTACTTGGGGCCACGGTGACATCTCAGCCTGGGCTACTGCTCAGGACCATGTCTGAATCCATGTTCCTACTACAACTGAGGTCCATGTAGATGTCTGTGGCCTGTGTTACCACCAAAGGCCACGCAGATGGCCAAGGTCTGGGCTGCCACCTGTGGCCATGTTGGTGTCTGAGGGCCATGCTGCCACTGGGGCCATACTGATCTGGGTGGCTTGCATTGAGGCCATGGCAACATCCAGGCACAAGCTGCTGAGTCTATGGTTCTGCTGTAGCGGGGGTCTATGTTGCTCTCTGTGGCCCATATTACCACAGGGAGCCATAGGAACCATGCATGTTGAAATCTGACGGCCCTGCTGAACTGGATCTGCCCCTCACTGACCACTACAGCACAAGAGCTGGCCCCACCCCTCACAGGAGAGCTTTCTCTACATTCGGGAGAGATGGCCTGGCCCCTCACCACCAGTGTGGGAGAGCTGTCCATGATAGTATAGGCATAGAAAAGCTGGCTCTGGGCTGGAGAGATGGCTCAGAGGTTAAGAGCACTGACTGTCCTTCCAGAGGTCCTGAGTTCAATTTCCAGCAACCACATGTGGCTCACAATCATCTGTAATGAGATTTGGTGCCCTCTTCTGGCCTGCAGTCATACAGGTTATATACATAATAAATAAATCAGAAAGAGAGAAAGAGAAAGAGAGAAAGAAAAGCTGGCTCCACCTCTCACCTGAGGGAGGTGCTCTCAGTGGCCAGGACTGACAAAATCAGCTACTACCCAGACCCACATCCAGAGCTTTGAGTTGGCCCACCCAACTCAATGTTCCTACTATGGCCTGCCAGAATGTGTGAAGGGACTGGTCCTGCAGAACCATAGCTGCAGGATCTCCATGACTCAGGGTAACAGCAGAATATCCTAGAGGAGTTTCGGTGAAGGTCCAGTAATGATGGTGTTCCAGAAGCCAGAGGCCTTGAACCAGACCAACAACTCATTGCAATGAACACTTGCAAGTAAAGCTAAGTGAACAAAAGGTTCTACTGTGTGACACACCACAGCTCCTAATGCCACTAAGATCAATGATGAGGTTTTGAAGAGGCAGAAAACATAGAACAAAGGTTTTGTTTTTCTTTTTTTTTTTCTTTTTTGTTTTTTGAGACAGGGTTTCTCTATGTAGCTTTGCGCCTTTCCTGAGACTCACTCTGTAGACCAGACTGGCCTTGAACTCACAGAGATCCGCCTGGCTCTGCCTCCCGAGTGCTGGGATTAAAGGCGTGCGCCACCACCGCCCGGCTGTTTTTATTTTTTTTAATTAATATTTTTTAAATTTTCTTTTGGGGGGTGATGCTACAGGGGTGAGAGGCAGATATGGAGGGACTGGAAAATAAGCGGATTGGGGTACATGATCTGAAATTCTCAATAAATAAATTATGGTAGAAAAATTTTTTTTAAAGATTTATTTGTTTATTATGTATACAGTGTTCTGCCTGCAGGCCAGAAGAGGGCCCCAGATCTCACCACAGATGGTTGTGAGCCACCATGTGGTTGCTGGGAATTGAACTCAGGACCTCTGGAAGAGCAGCCAGTGCTCTTAACCACTAAGCCATCTCACCAGCCCGAAAATTTTTTATGTGTTTTTAAATATTCTAACTTTTTTCCAAAGACAGATTGTAAAATGGTAAATATTCTAACTTTTAAAAAAGAATTTATGTATTTATTTTATATATTTGAGTGCTTGCATGTATGTATGTGTGTGCAATGCCTGTTGATGCCAGAAGACAGTGTTGGATCCCCTGGAACTGGAGTTATAGACAGTTGTGAGATACCATGTAGGTGCCAAAACCAAACCCAAGTCCTCTGCAAGAGCAGCAAATACTCTTTTTTTTTTATTTTTTAAATTACACTCCTGATATTCATTACTTACACTCATGATATTAATCACATTTGTCGTATTCATAGATTACATTCGAAGTATTCATTCAATTTTATATATATGTATATGTATATATATGTGTGTGTGTGTGTGTGTGTGTGTGTGTGTGTGTGTGTGTGTATTTTAATTTTAAATGTTGAATGTCATTTCTTGAAGGGGGTAGGAGGTTAAATACAGGCTTACAGCACAATGGGAGGACCCCGGAGGGCAGAAGTTCGCTACTGATGTTTTACAATCTTGCATCTAAGCTGTTAACGCCCATTATGCAGGATACACAGACAAGGAACTTCCCTTAAGCATTCAGGAGGGTGGAACCTGGCAGGGAATTAGCATTGGGAGGATATCAAGGTCAAGGTCTGCAAGCAAGGCAACAGTTACCCAAAACAGGGGCCAGGGCCCTGCAGGTCCCCCTTTTATTAAAAAAAAAGCTTCTGACTTGGGTTGCGTGGGACGTCAGCAGGTCACCTTACCCATCATGGAGATGCCTGCCCAGGCCACACAGGCTCTCTGTCTTAGGTTGGTGAGTGCCCCCCAGGCATTACCCGTCTCCTAATACTCATCATACCGGCTCAATAGTGTGTGAGCTGCATGGTTAATTGCTGCCAAAGATCTCAAAGTGGCACTGGGCTCAGCAAATACTCTTAACAACTGAGCCAACTCTCTAGCCCTAAATTTATTTTTAAATACTTTATAAGCAAAATATATAACATATAGTGCTATACGTGTAGAGGCAAAAGAAGTGTCCTCAAGTATCCACTAACTCTTTTACTGAACTGGTTTGTTCTGATCCTTTTGGATTCTGTTTAATTTCCTTCACATTTGTAAATAATATGAATATGTCATCATGCATCATATCAATTAATTGTCAAGTAAATTGTGGCTCTGTGCTAGGAGGGAAAAACACTCATGAGCTAGGGAAACATGCATACATGTACAGACCTGTGTAGAGTCAGGAAGTAACTCCGACTTTGAAGAAAATTAATCCAGGAAAAGTGTTTAGAGACCTGTGGAGTAGGGGTGAATATAAATGATATTGAAGGAAGATAGAATTTGGGAGGGGCAAACAGTTGGTCAAAGGGTCCCAGACAGAGGAAGTAGTTGAGGCATGAAAGGTTTGGACCTTTGAGAACATGCTGAAATCACTTAATGGAAGGAAGCAGATGCCAGAGAAATGCATGTAAACCTGTTAACATAGAGCTTGTGACTGGTGCCAGGACAGTGGAGAATGAAACAATTGTGGGGTTTTCAGCTCTCTTCTAAAATGATGCTTTGGTTAATTTTCTAAAATATAATGCAGTGTGTGATCACCTTAGAGATTGCTTCAGTCTCCAGAGGGAAGGAGGACGGCATACAAAGGGTTAGGTGTCAGAGATGATATCTGACTATGGATATGTTTTGAAACAGGGTTTTCTGTTATATCTGGAATGGGCTAAGAGTAAATGAAATAAGCATGAATACTTTGTGTGAGACCTGAGGAAGGAGTTAACTTTCATTTTAAGATTTGTGGATCACTGAGAAAGACAAGTTGTGGCAGCAGAAGCCAGGGTCTTTCAGTCAATAGGACCCAGAACACTCTGCCTTCTCTAACTTGAATCCTACTAAGGAGAATCCCCAGTTGAATATGCATTTTTGAATGAGAAGACAATTTAGACTTACATGTGCTGCCTTTATCTACCCAGTTGCCCATAGCTGTCAATCTTCTAGCTGGATGGACTCCAATTTAACATATCCCTTTCCCTTCTTAGGAAAAACCATTAAAGGAAATCCCATCTAAGTCAGGAAGTGTTGCTATGTCTCAACAGAATGAATAGAGGCAGAAAGCATGTGGGGAAAGGTGCTCAGAGATCTGAGTAAGTGAAACTGGATGAGGCATTAGGTTTGCTGGGTAAAGTAGGATATAACCTAGAAGTTACTTGTTTGTAGGCCATGCTCACTGCTGCACTATTTATACCAGAAGTAAAGTTGTCCCTGATCCTACTTGGAGAACTGTAGTCTGGCTGACATGTAGAAAAGGGACCCAATGTGAGCTTTTATAGATTTCTATAAAAGATATAGTAAACAAAAATGGAATAAGGGAATGCACTAACTGTTTGCAGCTTGTGTTGGCTATTGTTTGTCTTGAGACAAAGTTTCATTCCATAGCCCAGGTTGTCCTTGAACTGAAAGTGATCAGACATGAACCATCAAGCACAGCTGAGTTTGTGTTGTTAACACATAAAGACTGAGTAGTAGAATAGGCCTGATCACATGAAAAATCAGATGCCTAGGCAATTTATTATATTCACTCTAACCAAATTTTCATCTTTCCACAGAATTAAGGACAGAGATCCATCCGTGTCTTTTGTGCTCTTTGGCCTTCTCAAATCCAAAATTCCTCAGTCTACATATGCAATGGAATCATCGAACTCAAATCTTCTCAAGAGCATCTTCAAGGATAAACTCCAAACCAGGGGATCCTCACCCAGATCAACTTCAGGAACAGCAACATTTGGATTCATACAATGAAAGTGACAAGGCCAGAAGTCAAGAGGGCAAAGGAAAGTCCAAACCCATGCATAAATGGACAAGAGAGAAGATTTCAACAGCCTTTCTCAGCACACTCAAAGAACAAATTAGATCTGAGGAAAGTAAGAAAACTATGGAAGAAGAACTCAGAACAGGCCAGAAAACAAATACAAAGGACACAGTCAAATCACTTATTGGATCAGAAATCTCAAGAACTGAAACAGAATGTGGGCAACATTTCAGTGATAAGTCAAATGCCAATGAGAGCCAGAGGACACACTCAGAGGAGAAGCCCTATGTTTGCAGGGAGTGTGGGCAGGGCTTTA